TTAAAGCAGAATTAATTATAAAGCAGGAAAAATTATAGAGATTATTATTTATTATTATTTATTTATTTATTTATTTATTTTGCAGAGTAACTAGTTTATTCAAACTATTGGACAGAGCTCCCACCATGGAAGCTGAGCCTTGGAGCTGAACAGGGTGGGGATGACCAGGTATCAGAAGGTAAAGGAGCTTAGCTGAGCGGCAGGAGCAGCATTAGGGCCAGGTCCAGCAGGAGAGGCCAGGCCCCATGGAACCCAGCTCCATTCATGGCCTCAGCATAGAACCTGGCCACCTCCTCGTTGGCGTTGCCCTGGGCCAGGTCAAACAAACCACATCTGGATGCAGTGGCCACTGCCTCGGCTGTTGTTGCTGACTTTGTGGGAGTAACTCCAGAATTCATTGCCCAGAGCAGCAGCGTGGGGAAGTAGAAGTCAAATCGGTGGCAGGCAGCCTTCGCTGGGCACTCTTAAGATCCCGAGGTCCAGTTCCAGCCCTTGTGCCAGTTACTCTTGCAGGTGTAGGAGGTGCGGCAGTCTTCCCATCAGCTCTCACAGTCCTCTTCAGTACATTCAGGATCCTCTCTGTGCCAGCTCAGGTTCACCTCCTGGGTCCAGGGCCCCAGGTTGGGGGAGCACTCATACAGGCAGGTGTCCTGGATGAAGTGGCGCTTGCAGGCGGGTTTCATCAGGCCGCAGTGGTCCCAGTTGAATTTGTACAGGTAGGAAACATCTTTATGGCTTCCTTGCTGGTGTTGACAGAGCAGGCATTCTTCTTCCAGGGACTGCACTGCTCATGCAGCTTGTCCTCCGGGCTTGGCTTTTCCTTGTGTTGCTTGGCATCCATGCAGACATTGAGAAGCTCAGTCCTGGGCCTGGCTGCCCCGTTCTTCAGCCCGCCACACCAGAAGGAGCCACAGCTGTGTTGTCATCATTCGAGCCATGTCAGACCCTGAAGGAAGAGCTGTAGTCAGTGACTTATAGAGATTATTATACTAAGTGAAATAAGCCAGTCATAGAAAGACAAATACCATATGATCTCACTTATATATGGAATCTAATGAACAAAATAAACTGATGAACAAATTAGAAACAGAGGCATGGATACATGGAACAGACTGACAGCTGTGAGGAGGGGAGGGAGGAACTAGATGAAAGAAGGTGAAGGGATTATCCAAAGAGTTTATATGCATAACCCATAGACACAGACAACAGTGTGGTGATGGCCATAGGGAAGGGGATGCGGGGTCTGGGTGGATGTGGGCAAAGGGCAGGTGGGGGCCGGGTGGAGAAGGGGACATCTGTAATAGTGTCAACAATTTTTAAAAAGTATATGTTAAAATCAAGCATTGAAAATTTATCCAATAAAAATAGTAAGTTAGCAAAAGAATAATGTAGCAAATCCAAAGTAGAAAGCAGGGAAATAATGATCACAAAAACATAAATGAAATGTAATAGTACAGAGAATCAACAAAACCAAAGTTTGTTTCTGGAACATAGTAATAAATCAACCTCTAGGAAGACTGATACATTTTAAAAGTTTACAAAAAATAATATTAGAGTATTTAAAGTAAATTTAATTGCAGATCCAGAAATTAAATCAGAGTGGTGGGTGGGTAGATGTTTATTATATCAGGCTCCAAACTTCTTTTTGTTAGAAATATTTCACAGCTAAAAATAGCAAAATCTTTCTTTAGGTATTGTGCCTTAGTCCAGGCATTGCCTGTTGCCTGTCCTCTAGCTTTAAGAGGTACCAGCTCTCTCCTATTCTTATGCATCGCTCCATGTGACTCATGCATTCCTGCTTTGTACATGCTTGGTAGGAAGTTGAAGCAGTAGCAGGTAAACTATGAAATCAACAGAATAAATGCCTCTGGCAGAGGTTAGGGAAAACAAGACTCCTGTCCACGAATGGTCAAAAAGATGGGTGAAAATGGACAAAGGTAGTAACTGGCCCTAGGGAGAGCTTCGATGAAAGGCACAGGCTTTCTTGAGTCCTCTCATCCCCAACCCTCTCAAGATTCTCCAATTGCATTTCCTTATCTGGTTGATGTGATTGTTCATCCCTTTTGCAGTTCCAATGCTTCAGAATATGTGTGTAAATTAAATGTGCACTCTCTGGCTTCATCTGAGATGCAGGCATACTTTTTGCATGAATGTGGACTCAATGTATAGTTTTTACTATTCAATTTTAAATGACTGACTTCCTCTCTCAAGCTTCCTTCCATTTGAATAGTGTTCTATTCAATACATTCAAAGCATTTTTTTAAAAGTTTATTGGCTATGATTCTTAAGTCTGATAAGCACACTATTCTAAAGTTTATATTGTGAGGAAAATTATGATGTCATCAGTTTCTTTTTTCTTTAATATTTCCCTTTCTTCCCTCATAAAATAAATGACCTAATTTTCTTATGTCCTAGAGTATTGTTCCTCTTCTTTTTTAAAAGGAGCCTTTGTTTTATTATTTTAGTTGGTTATGAGGTCTGTAATTTTCCGTAGGATAACACTTTTGGTTATGCTGTGTGACCATTTAGATCACGTGTGGGGAACATTTTTCCTGCCAAGGGCCATTGGGATATTTATCATTCACAGGCCGTACAAAATTATCCACTTAAAAATTAGCCTGCTATCTTTGGTCATACATTTAATTAACTCACCCCTAATGCCTAATGATTTTGTGGGCCTTACATGGCCCTTGGGCCAGATGTTCCCCACCACTATATGGATTAACAGTTTTTCCTCACACGGTATGGGGTCTGGGAGTTAGCAGTGTAGTGTCTTAGCAATGATCGGGTGCAGGTACATGTGGAGAAGGTGCTATTGTTTCCTTGAGACACTGGGAGCATCATGGGTAATCTAAAAGAATGTGTCTGTCATTACTATCTGGTGACTGAGTGGCAAACTAGAGAGAGTAAGTCCCCTGAGAGAAGGTGACCAGATGTCTGATCACTGCTCTGGTCCCTCGGATTCAGTTAGGAAAACTGAGTTTACCACGTACGTTACTATAGATTGAACACTATTGCTGCAATAACCTATTCTTTTACAATAAGACAATGTGCTCTTTCATATTCCCAGTGTTTGTACCATTCATCCATGTTAATTTCCTTCAGCAATAATTTAGTCCAGCTAAAATGTATATGAAGTAAAAGCCTAATATGATTTGGTTCTTAATGTTATTTAAATGTTAACAAAATACTAAATAACAACAAAATAGCTGTTGAAGGTATTTTCCCTAGAGAATCACACAAGAAACCTTTGAGATAGTAAGCTCAGATAATACAGTCACTTTCTACAGATGAAGACATTGAATTTGAAAGGTTCCGTATAGATAGGGCTGCATCGTTGTATAGATAGGCCTGCGTAGGCTTTCTCGGGTGGTGATGCTCATTTGGGATTCCAAATATGGCCTCTCTACTTGCAGTACAAACACTTCTACTTATGGATGGCTGCTAAGTACATAAATGTTACTATAAGCCTGTGACTAAAATTAGGAAATAATTAAAATAATTATACTTCATATTTTTTGTTTGTGGATTCAGTACTATGCTTAAGTGAGAAAGTTGTCATTTCCTTATCTCTTCCCACAGTATTTGCTAACATTTATCACATCTGTCAGTGTTCTTATGGTACTGAACTTGATAAAGAACATAATCTAAAAAAAAAAAATTTAAAAGGCAAGCCAAAAATTATCTCAGAACCTGAAGGATGTAAATCTGTGGTCTATGTTTATTTTATTAATGAGGTGATTCTCCAGTATGCACTTTAGATTGTACGGACCAGACCTTAAGCCATTTTACTAAATATCTGGGAGCCATTCCACTGGAGGACTTGAACGAATTGACTTCTAGTCACCACCTGCCTTAGCTTCAGGCTAGAGCAGTGATTTTCAACCTTTCTCATCTCATGGCACACACAAACTAATTACTAAAATTCTGCAGCACACCAAATATATATATATATATATATATATATATATATATATAGCCAATCTGATTTTTAAAAAAGGTATAATTTTGATTCATTCTCACTGGATGGCTACTGTTGTATTGGCTGATGTCATTTTTCAAAATTTGACAATCTAAGGGCAAAGAGGTCAGTTCCCTTGACTAAATAGTCAGGTATTGCATGTTTTAAAAATTCTTGGGGCACACAGGTTGAAAATCGCTGGTCTAGAGACTTGAATTACTCTATTGCAGAGGATAAGGAGTTTTGGCTACTTCAGTTTTCATGTGCCTACAGTAGACAGTGAGGCCAGCATCTCCTGCCTCAATGTTCAAAGAATGTGACCTGATATAGCATCCCTCATTAGATGCCTCCAGTAGGCTCTTCTAGAACAGTTCTCTGGGATAAGGTCAATGTAATTTACAATTGGATGTCAGGAGACATTTTGGAACAAAAATTCATATATAAATGTATAGATTTTTTTTTCTTATTTAAGATTCCCTCAATTGTCAGTCATTTTACCTACTTTTCTCACCTGTTAAATGGACATAACATTTTATGGCAGCTGATGAGAATTATTTGAGAAAGGTTTAGGATTCAGAGATGCTTTCTTGGCTGAAAGTTATTTTTATTGACACCGCTAAAGTCTTTGAATCTGACCTGCCTTCACTAAGCTTTCTATATACATAAGCTTTGTTATAAAATACTTACCTGCCAAAGGTAAATATTTTCTTTTCTGATTGCTTTGTGGTGTTTGTTTGTTTTTCTCCAAGTGGGCTTTTCCAAAGCTAATGTATCTGCAAAGAGACATATGCTTTAGGTCTGTACTTGTTAATTTACCTTGGAAAAGATTAGGTCATCTTCAAATCTGGCAATGTGGCTTATAAACTTGGCAAAATGGACTAATTAAAAGCTTTCCATAGATTTATAACAAGGAAATGATTACTATCAGTAGTGTTTTCATTTTTACGGTTTGTGTATATATATAGGTATATGTCACTTCTCATGTTGCATTTAAAGTATGTTGACTGTCTGCTAACAGTTCATCTCCTTTCTTCTACAGCCTCCAAGTCTGTTATAAATAGTCTGCTACGGGACCCTTCTCAGATTCCAGATGGAGTTCTAGCAAATCAGGTCTATCAGGTATTAATCACAGCTGTCTATTTTCAGTGGCAATGCTGTTATCTGCCTAGCAGAGTAAAGGATTTTAAACCTCATTTAATTACTGTCATCATAAACTATCACTGAGGTCAGGGTGCACCGTAATGGCAATGCAATATTTGTGAGAAGAGCATTTCACTTTTTAATAGCTTGCTTTTATAGTGAATAAAAAGCATGCAGTTTTTGTTTTCTGTGATTAAATCTGCACAGCCTTTTAATAGCGTTTTTAATTTTTTTTTTAATTCAAGGATACTGCTTTTAGTATACTGTTTAACTGTAATAGTTTTTGTAGTCGCCCCACCCCAGACCCCTTCTCTTATTTGTCTGCAGTGCATTGTGAACGACTGCTGTTATGGACCGCTGGTGGACTGCATCAAACAGTATCCTTGCCCATAAAATTTTAGGTGCACAATTGACGAGCTTAGACTCAGCGGAGGATACGTGTCTAGCTTTAACATGACATAAAGTTCTGCTTCACAAAACACATATCATACTCTTCTATTTTACATTCAATCAACTGGAGGGTCACTGCAGACCATTCTTTTCCACAGTGTAAGAAAAGCCAGATCGGCCCCGGGAAGATGTCAGTTCAGCAGCTGCACCTTCACATGCTCATTTCCAACTGCTTGGTTATCAGTGAGTTTAAAGGTACAGAGTCATTAGGCAGGTAGCATACTGTCTTGGAATGTATCTAACCATCCCAATGAACATATTTTAAAAATAGAACAAATTTCTATTTAAAATGAGCCAAATTCAGTTGAGTTTGCTAGAATAAATTTTGCCTGAAGTTAAAGGATGATGTGATTAAAATGTCGCCAGAGACCATCACATTTTAAAGGGCAGTAGACTCTCATTGCTTAAATGCTGATTAAAATCTGAGCTGTCACTTGGATCCCTAATAAACAGTTTTAGAGAAACCCGGCTAATTTTTCTCTCTGGACTGGATTTAAGGCTAAGAAAACATGTCCAGTCTTCATTAAAGACTTTGGGATTGCTAAAGAGTTAATGCTTACTTCTTAAAACAGGATTTGAGTGGACAGTAGTGTCTTCATGACATAGGGCATTATTCATCAATACATTTAGTAGTATTGTGGCAACACTAAGAATTTTAATGTAATCATTGGCTAACAATGCTACTTAAAGAGTAAATAATGGGTAATTTTCTAAATGAAAATTGTATCTATCTGAGCCCATGAGTCTCACATTTCTTTTTCTTTTTTAATATATTTTTATTGATTTCAGAGAGGAAGGGAGAGGGAGAGAGAGGAAGAGAGAGATAGAAACGTTAATGATGAGAGAGAATCATTGATCAGCCACCTCCTGCACAGCCCCTACTGGGGATCGATCCCACAACCTGGGCATGTGCCCTTGACCAGAATTGAACCCAGGACCCTTCAGTCCACAGTCTGATGCTCTATCCACTGAGCCAAACCAGCTGGTCTCCCACATTTCTTATAGTAGAACACACCCTTCCTGGTATAGGCTTTTTGTTGTTGTCTTATATAGCCCTCGCTAGTCAAGTGTGTATGTGCATGCACATGCATGTTTATATTCCACCTTGATTCATAAAGGCTGAGAATCAGTAAAAAAAAAATTTAAATCACGCATTTACTTTTTCATAAAGGTTAATTTTAAAAATAATATTTTTCCATTTTTATTGATTGATTCTTAGAAAAAGGGAGAGAAAGAAACATCGATTTATTGTTCCTCTTATTTATGCATTCTTTGGTTGATTCTTGTATGTGCCCTCACAGGGATTGAACCCACAACCTTGGTGTATGGGGACGATGCTCTCACCAATTGAGCTACCCAGCCAGGGCCTAAAAATAATCTGCAAGAATATTCAGTATCTATGTCATAGCCCTTGATATATGTATTTTCCAAGTCTATTCCTCCCAACCTAACTTAATAGAATCACAGCATTGTCATAAGCTTACCTTTTTATTAGACCAAAGTAAAACGATACTTCTATCTTCAGTGTAAAATTAATGGTAGTTAGAAGTTGTAGGAATGCCAACCTCAAGTTGCTATAGCGATCAAGTTTACCACATTCGTGTAACAACTAACACCATCTCAGAGTATCTGGGGCGGAATTACATGTTAATTTTCAAGCACATAAAATAGTTAAAAATCAATTTAAAGTTAAGGTTTTAAAAGCATAATGTCTTTTGAAGGATTGCATATTGATTTTAAATATAACTATCTAATTATATATGCATGGACTAAAGTATGAAGTCAACTGCTTTGTAAATGCCAGGAGGCTATTTTTCAGTAATAGTTGAGATGCTTACGGGAAACTAGATTGCTGTATTGCTGGCGAAGAAAATGGCTTGTGAGGTTATTTACAAGTTTTGCCCCATGGTCACTGCCATACATCAATAATAGGTATTATAGACGAAGTCTAAGTGTTTCTGCTTGTGGAGCATTATAAATTCTGTTTGGAGTATTTTCCTTACATTTTTGCCATCATTCACTTTCCTTTTTTCACTGTGTAGAATTTAATATAGACAAGATTTCAATTGATAAAGATAATGATGTATGTCTATAAATTGCATTGACTGACTAGATTATAATTTGGCAGTTCCATTATTATGCCTATTGCCAGAAAAATTACTGTTTTTATAAGTTTTATTTTCTAGACCTTATATTTTATATATATGTCCAAGCAAAGCAGAACCAAGAAGCGTGTTTTTCCAAAATTTAAAATTGGTGATTGCTTTTACCGTGCAAAATAAAATAGGCTGGGAAGTTTATAGAGAACTGATTTTATCTTTGCATTGAGGTAGTAGCAGTTTTATATAATGTAAATATACTTGAATAGCTATCGCCTACACCCGTGGTCAGCAAACTGCGGCTCGAGAGCCAAATGCGGCTCTTTGACACCTTGAGTGTGGCTCTTCCTAAGCCTTAGGAGTACCCTAATTAAGTTAATAACAATGTACCTACCTATATAGTTTAAGTTTAAAAAATTTGGCTCTCAAAAGAAATTTCAATCGTTGTACTGTTGATATTTGGCTTTGTTGACTAATGAGTTTGCCGACCACTGGCCTAGACTGATCAACAGGAGTTATTTTATTTCATACTGAATAAAATTACTAGTTTTCCATGTGAGTGAAAATGCTATTTGTAAGTTGTTTTGATAATTTGGTAATGCTTACATCACTTACTCTCAGTAAATTACATCATTTTGTAAGAAAGAAAGCATATACCAGTATGTAGTAAATTGAATAGATACAAAACTTTTTTACCCCATTATAAAAATGTTACATGTAGACCTTTGTGTAAGTAGAATAAAGTAAGTTGGTCATTTACTAATAAGACACCAAGAAAGTACAGTAGCAAAGAGAATATAAATTGTCATTGTGTTTTCTTTTTCTTTCTGTGTCCACTATTTCTTTTTTCCTCCATAGCCAGACTCACCCACACCTTTCCTGCCACAGTTCATATTCAGTGACACAACAGGTGTGAGAAACCAGCCACCTCAACTTTCCAAAGTGTGACTTCAGGACACAGCTATTAGACAAAGACCTAAGCAGGGAAGCAAAGAAACATAATGATGCAGGAAGCTTAAAATGCTGTGGGTTTCATTTCTGTACCATCAGTAACCTCAGTTTCATGATTCAACATTTTAGATGTAAATAATTTACAACAATAAAAGTGAGAGCACATTTATGTGGGATAGGAGTAAATAATTTAGTTCTAAGATGTGGTACGCCCCTAGTAATGAGAAATCATTGAGAGGTATTCATCAAATGTCTTCAATGGACTCTGCATATGTGTGAAATTTTGTGATTTAAAAATGTGTTTCCTTTATTTTATTTCCATTAAAATTTTAAATAAACATAGCCATGTGCATTAGAGTGGGGAGGGGGAACAACAGAAGGAAAAAGCAGTGATGACTTCAGACTCATTTTGACAGTTGACATGAGTAGCCACATCTCTGAAATTCTAAATGCTATTCATCAGTGTGTGTTGATAAAGGATAGGATAATTTGCTAAGAATTTTTTTTACAAAAAATGTATGAGATTTATTCATTTCAAATTGAATTATTGCAGGGCATGATCAGAATTAAACAGTTCCTGGGAATCTGAGGAGGATAGGATCAGGTTGACATTATCAGTGAAATGGAGAATTAGATAATTATGACCAAATGCTTTTGACAGTAATTAAAGTACCAGGCTAGGACAACACTCCTTTTCAGACTTATCAAATCCGATCCTTTTGGAAAATACACCAGAATTTCAATTCCCTTTTCTGTTTTTATTATTTACCAGCCATGGGGCCTTCAGCAAGTTCCTTGGCCTTCCTGAACCTTGCTTTCCTTAACTGTAAAAATGGGGCTACCTACTTATGTGATTGTTGTGAAGATTAAATAAGATGATAGCACCCCAAAGTGTTCATAGCATAAAGGGTTAGCATGTAGTATTTAAGAAATATTAGCTAGTATCAATTATCCTATATAATAAAAGGCTAATATGCAAATTGACTGAACAGCGGAATGACCGGTTGCTATGACATGCACTGACCACCCGGGGGCAGATGCTCAATGCAGGAGCTTCCCCCAGGTGGTCAGTGCACTCCCACAGGGGGGAGCACTGCTCAGTCAGAAGCTGGGCTCACGGCAGGCGAGTGCAGCGGCAGTGGTGGGAGCATCTCCCACCTCTGCGGTAGAGCTAAGGATGTCCAACTTCCAGCTTAGGCCTGCTCCCCAGGTGGAGCGGGCCTAAGCCATCAGTCAGACATCCCCCAAGGGCTCCCAGATTGTGAGAGGGCACAGGCCGGGCTAAGTGACCCTCCCCCCAAGTGCACGAATGTCGTGCACTGGGCCTCTAGTTTTACATAATTCATTTTTATTCTTTTTAAAGAAGCTGTATGGAATTTATAAATGCAGGATTTGCACAGATTTTATCTTGAACCCCTGCTTTGCCACATATTAAGTGTATGACCTTATGCAGAATCCTTTCTAAATCTCAGTTTCCTCATCAATAAAATAAGGATAATGATAACTGTAAGGATGAAATAACATATATGAAGCCTTTAGCAGAGTGCCTGCCTCAGAGTAAGCACTCAAAAAAAGTATATGTGTGTATCTATCTATATGCATATTATAATATGTGTACACTTGCACTCACAGGAGAAAAAGACTTGAACTAGTCTCTGTACACACACACTAACCTACAGTCCTTTACTAAGATGTCTTTCTTTCACATTATATGTAACTCTCAACAAGTCAGTTGTTTGGCTTCCCAAGTCCCAGAAGCTCACCAACAGTGACTGGAGGTAAAACAGGAGCTGTAAATGCTGGCTCTGTGGCAAGTGTGAATTCACAGAAGACGGGGAACTCTGTAGACCGGCAGCTCTTTCAGCACAAAGGCTTGTTGGTCTTCTTTACTGCGCTAAGTGCGTAATAAATGTGTGCTGAATTGAATTGAGAGATGTTTAACATAGCCTAAAGGATGCTTAAAATGACCATCCTCTTTTCAAAAGAAGATAAACTACATATACATCCATTTACAAATCTTTATTTGCCAAAATGCATATAAACATTATAGAAAAATTCCATTGAATCATTTAAAATGAGGGGAGGTGGCCCAGCCAGTGTGGCTCAGTGGTTGAGCATTGACCTATGAACCAGAAGGTCACAGTTCGATTCCCGGTCAGGGCACAGGCCCGGGTTGGGGGCTCGATCCCCAGTTGGGGGCATGCATGAGGCAGCCAATCAATGATTCTCTCTCATCACTGATGTTATTATCTCTCTCCTTCTCTCTTCCTCTCTGAAATCAATACAAATATATTGAAAAATAAAATAAAATGAGGGGAGGTAGATAGAAATCTCAGGGAGTTAGGCTAAAGGTAGAAATAATGGCTCAAATTACATCTTATTTTTCTTTTCATCTCAAAGTATAGCTCTGGTGTTAGTGTTTTTCTGATAGCATCTTTTCATAATTCTGCGTGTGTCACCCTCTTTAACTCAAACGTCCCAGCGCTATTGGCCATGAGCACGAAATCCTGCTGAGAGACTTGCTTCTAGAGAAGAATCTGTCCTTCCTAGGTAAGTATTGCTTACATCCTGTCTAGCTCATAACAGCTCCAGGAGTGCTTAAATATATACTTTTAAAATCTTCCCCTTGCACTTATTATGTACTAAAGGAAGAGTGAACGATGATTGATGCTCTACATGTTATCTTTTATTGATTTAGAACTGAGCAGGAATCTAGTTACCTAATCCCCCATATATACAGCACATGCACAGGCTTGCAATTAATATTTTATAGAATAAGTGGCTGAAAAAAATGCTTTAATATCTGATACAGTATTACTTTTGGTGTCATGAGATATTAACCATAATCTAGGCTTTATGAGAGAAAGAAGCAAAAGAAATATTGTCTATAAAATGCTTTATATATTAAAAAGAATGGTTAGAAAAATTCCTGTTAGGTATGTTTGTCTGGTGTACGGGATCGGGTAGTACTTTTCCTTGAAAGCCAGATATTAAGCTTTTATTACTTTTATGTCAAACATTAACTGTCATCATAGATTTAGTGTGATTTTAAAAATCTCACATGTATGCATGTGTTTGTGTGCCAGTGTGGAATCTTATTACAGACTGTTATTTCTTTCAGTATCTCTGAAGCATTAGAAATTAAGCCTCAAAGGGCATGCATGTGATAACTGTGGAAACCATAAAGCACTCTACAATGAATTAATTCCTCTTTTCCATGTTAGATGTGGTAATTTGTAAAGGTTCCATAAAAATCGTATTATTGTACACATCTGTTTTATGTAAATATTTAAGAGTCTACCTAGTGTGATTTTTTTTAGGTTAAAAAATAAAAGAATATTGAATTACATAATTTTTGTTTGAAAATGGACAGAGAATTGGCCAAAGAAAGTCGAATGAATGGTTCCACATCAAGTTGGAGAGGGATATTGACTACAGCCCTGCAAGAAATCTGGTTTAAGTCTTAGTGTTCAGCATTTTTATTAATGAACTGGAAAATGGAGTTGAATGTGTCATAAGATTGTTGGTAACTTGGAGGTGGGAGATACAAATATTCTCTAGCTAGTGTTAAAGAAAGTTGATAAATTAGGAAAGTGGCCTAAAATTACTGAATTAAATTTCAGTATGTAAAAGCAGCAAGTTTTTTTTCATATAGAAGGACAATTGGAATGTTCAGCCTATGGAAAGAGGGTAAATTAGATAGAAATTGCCTTTTAAGATTTAATAAATAATAGAATGTATAATGGATCGGAACCAGTTGTGATAGATGACTCCTGAGGCACCATGAGATATGTTTTAGAACCATGGAGTTCTCAGAGTGTTATGAAATATCAGATCACATCGATCACTCAGTGGCCAATATAGCATGGCCAAATCTATTTCATTGTTTCAAACCACCAACTCAGCAGTCATAGTTTCAGGACTGCTTGGTGTTACTCTCTTGGCACCATCTGCTTATGTGTAGTCAGGCCCTCAGCACCATTTCTTTGCTTAGCCTAGCTTTTCTCTGCTTTCTTCCTGAGGATGGAAGACCAATAGCTTAAATGTGGTCTAGTCCAGGGTTTTCAATTCCCTTGATTCTGGGAACTAAGTGTGTTAGACTGGCTTCACCACGGCTGACAAAGGCAATGCAGAAACATAGCCAGGAGTCATTACCACTCACAGACAAGTTCAGAAAGGGGATTTAAAATTGATGGGTCCCATCTATTCCTCTGTCCTATAGCATCTGGAGGTAATTATTTTATTGAAGCATACCCACAGATGATACTTAACTGATCTTTAAAAATAAATGAGTTATAGGATGTTTAGCTGACTCCATGAAACCTCAGTCCTGCTTTGAAGCATTTCCTCATCAGCATACAAAGAAGTTGTTAATTTATTCTATGCCTTTTAAGGGTTTTAATGTAGTACTGAATTAATACATGTTTACATACGATTAAAACATCAGAATTCAGAGCCTTGTATGAAATATGGTTATGGGGTTTTTCTTTTACCCCTTCACTATGATTAATTAGATCTGAAGTACTATGCCAGGTAAATTTAGATAGATCATCATTTTAAATCCAACTATGGGAAAATATTGGTATATAAATAGACCACTAATCTGATCGTATGTTTTCTTTGTTTACATGTGTACTTACACCTTGAATTCTGTTGCAGAGACATTACAAACATGTTTGTTTTACTTTGATTCTTTTATAAGCAAAATTGCAATCTCTGTCTTCCTCCCTTGCATCCTTCCTCCCTTCCTCTCCCTCTCTCAGGGTTTCTAATCTGGACTACTTGAGAAAGGCAAGGATTCTTACTGTTTATACGTAACCCTTCTTAAGAATTATGACCTCTTTGAAATTTTTTTACCTCATTTAAATGTTTCACCTATTGTGCTCCGTATGTCATTTTATAAAATAAATATTTTATCTGACCTCTTTTATCAATAGAAGAGAAAAATAAAAATAAATTACCTTTATCTTAATCCTAATCATTTCTTAAATTTCCTTGATTCATAACCATGTACTAAGCAATTGCTATAGTAAAAGATTTAACCAGGCAATACTGGAAAGAAAGAGAGTCCTTTTCTTTGATGATTTGGGTGTACTCATTGGGATTTATCCTATCTTGTAAATTTATTAATTTTGTACAACTAAAAATAGGTATATTGTATTAAGAGAAGTCACAGTTGAATAAAGGACTTTAGTTTCTCCAACTAAAAATATATACTCATATATTCATTCATTCCAAAAAATAAGATTTGGAGTTAAGTACTATTTTAGACACTAGACAGAAGCCCCGTGAAGTCCTCACATTTGTGGAGTTATGGTCTAGCATGGAGATAAGCTACAAACAAATGAATACAGATAACTCCTAGCAGCGGGAACAGTTTCCATGCAGATGTTAGCAGTAAATATTATTATTGAGGCTAAAGGGAACTAAGATGGTTGGGTATTTTATAAGGAACCAACTATTTAAATCCCTACCTATCAGAAGGTTAAAATCAGATGCCATTTTCAGAATAACAGGAATGTGACACTGGGGTCGAGATGTGGGGAATTTAAGTGTATTCTTTCCTTCCTGAAGAAATTATCATGTGAGGCACCATCTTTGCTTACTCCCCCAATTAAATACACATGTCTGCTTCTCCCTGGGCCGAGAAGAGAGCGGTAGACATGCTAGAAGGCAGCCTGGTCTCTGGAACTTTGAGGACAGGTTACCTCGTCCACTCATGGGAGCCTTCCTGCTCTGGGCCCACAGCCCTTCCCTCCGCTGCTGTGGTTAGAAAACTCATGTCTGCTCATCTGCTTTCCTGGCCACTGATGATAAAGTGGACCTATTTAGGTTGTAAGTGACAGAAATCTGGTCAAACTGAATCAGACACACACAAAAGGAGAACACACAGCATCCCTGGGAAATCCAAAAGAGGGAACTTTGCTTCTTGTGTGTCTAGCGCACAGAAGAAGCAATGTCATCAACATCTCCTCTTTTCTCCCTCTCGTGTTCTGCTTTCCTCAGTGTGGGCTTCCATTTGCAGGCAGTAAAGCTGATCCTTGGCAGTTGCTAGTCTGCTGACTGCTTAGAATTTGTAATCCTGGAGAAAAGTTGGTGATTCTCTTTTGTCCCATTACAAATCTCAAGAAGGGTTCTGATCAGCTAGTCTGGGTCTTGTCCACCCCTGTGGCCAGTGCTGAGAGTCACGTATTGACTACCAAAATCACAATGTGAGAGTAGGGTGCCAATGCCGGAAAAGATGGGGTACAGAACAGAAAAATCAGATATCTCACTCACCCCATTACAGGTTCCAGCTTTTCTCCCTATAACCAAAAGGCACTGGGGTTCAAATCTGTTATTGTTATTATTGGATTGGATTCTTGGGTCTCTCTCTCTCTCTCTCTCTCTCTCTCTCTCTCTCTCTCTCTCTCTCGGAGATCCTTTGTATTTTTTAGAGCTGCAAATATGCCTTCCTCATTGTGATTGGTTCTGGAACAGATGGGGCTGGCCCTGACATCAGTGACTACAGTTAAAAGAACAGGCAGACACAGGCTAACACCCAGCCATTCCTCAGAATTTTGGAGTTGCAAAGGGCTCTAGTGACCATCCAGTCCCCCTGCTTTGTTTAGAGGAAACTGGCCCCAGGCTTTGCATCACAGCTAGTGCCCTCCCAACAGCTTGTCCTGTTTTCTTTTACTCCACTGTGCTGGTGTATCCCTCCTTTTATGGCATTAAACCAAAAGAATTGAGAGTGATGTGGTATAAAATATAGACAGGTTCTACTCTGTCTTTATAGCCACCAGTTGGGGGTATCAGCCTACCCAGCCTTCCTTTGCACTGTCTCAGCTTCGTGACCTCCCATTTGTTTGCTATCTTTAGGGCACTTCAGTTTTCACTAGTATTGTCCCCTAAAGACATAAGCAAAGGACAAGGTCAGAGCAGTCAGTTGTATTGCTTATTAGTGGCTTTGATAAGAGGCTTTGGGGGAAGAGGTTGAAACTAATGGCTATAATGAAATTTTGGGTCCTCTAAAGATTTCATTTGTCTGTGCTATTGGTCTCCCCATTAAAAGCATATCTGTTCTGTGTACCTTTGTACATGGGCTGCATATCATAGCAACTTTTATTACTGAAACTTTGCAAACTTCTTACATTGGGTAGAAAAGACTGAATATAAAAATATGGGCTACAAAGATTATAGCACCAACTATTAAATGAGACAGTGTTTGGGGGGAAAAATAACACAGAAAAAAATACTAGAATAGAAAAGATATACTATAGTTTTCTCTTTTTTATTTAAATTTATTCTGGTGACATTGGTCAGTATGATCATATAAGTTTTAGGTGTGGGTTTCTATGTTACAAGATCTGTATATTGCATCATGTCCCTAGCACCCAGAGTCAAATCTTCTTCCGTCGCCATATATTAGGACCCCCTTCTCCCCCCACCCCTCTTCCCTCTGGCAACCACCACATGCTGTTTGGTTCATGAGTTTCAGTTTTATATCCCATATATGAGTGAAATCATATGGTTCTCTAGTTTTTTCTGGCTGATTTATTTCACTTAGCATAATATTCTCAAATTCCACCCATGATGTTGCAAATGGCAGTATTTTATCCTTTCCTATGGCTGAGTAGTATTCCGTTGTGTATATGTACCACATCTTTATCTAGTCCTCTATCTCAGGACACTTTGGTTATTTCCATGTCTTGGCCACTGTGAATAATGCTGCAATGAACATAGAGGTGTAAATATCTTTGTAAATACCTGTTGTTTTTTAGTTTTTTCAGGTATATACCCAGGAGAGGGATTGCTGGTTCATATGGCAGCTCTATTCTCAATTTTTTGAGGCATCACCAGACTGCTTTCCATAGTGGTTATACCAGTCTATGTTCCCATCAGCTTGCAACCAAAAGAATGAAATACCTAGGAATAAACTTAACAAAGAATGTGAAAGACCTATATAATGAAAACTACAAAGCACTATCAAAAGAGATTGAAAAAGAAACAAGATAATGGAAAAATATTCCGTGTTCACAGGTTTCAAGAGTCAACATAGTTAAAATGGCCATATTACTCAAAGCAATATACAGATTTAATTCAATCCCCAGCAAAATTCCAATGTCATTTTTTTAAAGAAATAGGATGAGTAATTATCAGACATGTATGGAACCACAAAAGATCCTGAATAGCCAAGGCAATCCTGAGGGGAAAAAATATAGTTATCATTTGTGTTGATGTATATCACTTTTGCCTTTCCCCAATTTAGTAAAAATATAGGTGTTAAAATAGTCTTTTTAATCTAGCATTTAGAAAGCTTTTGACAAATTCATAGATAAAATGCCATACTAGAATGTACCCTTTTTGTTTTCAGATGTTGTGGACTGAAATTTTACCCAATTTCTCTGGGATTAACTGTATTTTTTTTTTAATTTAAGCCTTTTAATAAAAACAGAAGAAAACCTCAAACTTTTTCTTGGTGGTCCCCATGCCCTTCTATGATTCTTAAGTATATGTTAACTAGTTTCAGATGTATTTCATTCTCTGACTCAAAGTCAGCCTTTTATTTAAAGAAAAAAAAGAAATTGTGTAATTACTACTTAATTGCTTTGGATATTTTGGGTATTTAGAGGAGCCGGTAATTAAAAGACCAGAGAAATTAAACTTTCACAGTGTTCTTTAAGTACATGTAATTTTTTCTTTTTTTTTCTTTCTTTTTTCTTTTTTTTTTTTTAGTATATTTTATTGATTTCAGAGAGGAAGGAAAGGGAGAGAGATAGAAACATCAATGATGAGAGAGAATCATTGATCGGCTGCCTCCTGCATGCGCCTTACTGGGGATTGGGCCCACAACCTAGGCATCAAACCTGGGACCCTTCAATCCCCAGGCTGATGCCCTATCCACTGAGCCAAACCAGCTAGGGCCGTGTCATTTTTTTCTTTAAAATGTCCTCTAAAGGCATGACTGACAACCAAAAAATAAAAGAGGAAATATCACTTTATCTATGGATGCAATTGTTTTGATTTTTTTAGCTCAGTTGGAGAGAGGAGCATCTAGAAATCAAGAGATTATGCAGTTTATCTCTTCAGGCAGGTGTTATCTAAATAATAATATCCTGAAGATGGTCATCACCTCTCCTGTGCTTCAAGATCTTCTAGGAAGACATGAATAGTCTTTAAAATGCACTTGTATTTGCCCTGACCTGATAGCTCAGTTGGTCAGAGTGTTGTCCCAATACACCAAGTTTGTGGGTTCAATCCCTGGTCAGGGCACATACAAGAAGCAACCAGTCTTTCTGCTCTAGGCCCCAGTGGCTGCCTTTGAAATGGGCAAGTTTATGAAACCTGGGAAGGTGGTGCTGGTCCTGGCTGGACACTACTTCGGACACAAAGCCGTCACCATGAAGAACATTGATGATGGAACCTAGGACTGCCCCTACAGCCATGCTCTAGGAGCCCTGAACCTCCAAATGGTCAACCAAGTTTTAAATTTATACCCAATGGTTCGGATAACGATCCTAATAGTAAGGAACCGTTCAAAGTCTGGGGATCAGGCCAAATGGATGGGGCTGACCTTAAAAATCCCCTCTAAGATCAGTGATAGAAATTTCTCAGGGGCCTAGGCCAGGTGAGCAAAGCCCTTTATTCATAAATGCTGCTTCCTATTCTTATACTGTCATTTCCTGTGAACTTTGCCAAGTTGTTCCCTCCTCTTTCCTTAGGAAATCTAGGATAAAAGAAACAGTGTGGAGGTTGAACCAGGCTTTGGGAGTTCAGTAAATAAAAGAGAAGATAGCCAACACATCACATAGTATTTCAGATGTGTGGAATAACCTCTTCATAGATATCTACCTATCTATATAGATAGGTAGATATCTATGAAGAGGTTATATATTTATATCTATATCTATATCTAATCCCTAGTGGTGACACATACTTTAGAAGCTATCCTTTCTGAGCTCGGAAAGTGGGGTCAGGGTAGGGGAGACAGTTGCATTTTCCAATTCTCCACAGAAAGATGGAAAGATTCCCTAACCTCACTGACGTTTTATGTTCAGGTTTGAGGGTTTTTTAATTTTTTTTATTTTCACATTAAGTACATCATGCAATCTCCATTGTCATTGTAGGTGTTGTGCTAGTAACTGTGGTCCCGTGAACCAGAGTGCGGCATCTGCCTTTTAAAGGGATATTAGTGTGTGCATGTGGATTGCTTGGTGACCTTTGAAATTTTGTTTTGAGCTGCTGTCAGAAACATAATCATTTTTCTTTCTGAAATAGATTTGAACGTCTGCAGAGGTTGATCAAGCTAGGATAGTTTTAATAAAATATTAATCTCTCTTTTTTAATGTCAACCAGCTTTTAAAACTGTTCATCGGCTACCTGAAACATCAGCTCAAGGCACTTGTGTTGATTATAATAAATGCCTTTTCCATTAAACATTCTTGTGGTCAGAGTGCATTTAGAGGATAGAAGTGTTTCCAGTCTTGTTCGTCTGCCATCCTGTTTTCCAAATTCTCTGGGTTTTGAAGTAAGATTACTTTAACAGTGAATTTTCTTATCTCAATAATTAGTTAACTTAAAATTTTTTATAGTTCAGGGATGGGAGGTTGTTCTGAATTCTGCCATCAATCCTTCAAAATCTGGATACTTGAAGGATACCAACTTTTAATAAACCTTAATTTAAATATCCAGTTTAAATATGTCTTGTCATTAAAAGGTTCTTTACATCTAAAACGCTGACCTTTCAAGATGTACACAAGACTGTTCTCAAACTGAGTTTCTGAACATTGGCCATGAAACCAGTGTCTTGGGCTGACAAATGGATTGGAAATAAGCTACCCAACCCTGGGAATGGGCCATTAATTTTAATCAAAGGTGATGCAGGAAGGCGAATGGGATGCCTGACAATGTCAACAGCCCAGTAGGTGTTAAGAGACCACACAGCCTTCCTTGTTACTTGGCCGGGCCATTAGTTGAGGTTGGGTGAAGACAGAAAGCCATGTCTGGAATTGAATGACCAGGTCACTCCAAAATCTAATGGAGAACTCCTCATTTCAGAAATCACGCTGTAATGTCATTAGATGTCAAGGACGGCATTTAGAAAAAATCAGAGGGAAACAAAAAATTTTAACCAAGAACCTAGCTAGTTTTTTAAAACTTTGTAAAGCTCTCTATTTTCTCATCTTTTTTTCCTTCTGAATGGATCATTGACATTTATACAGGATCAAGAAATCAAACAGACCTAGAAAAAAATCTCAAATCCTGTTTGCTTTTTATTCAGAATTACATATTGTTGGTTATAAAACACTGGTAAATGCCAGAAACAATAGCATACCAAAGGATTTAAGAAGGATGATTAATTCTCTGTGGTGATCTCATTGTCCTTGTCCCTCTCTAGTGTTCTTATGTGTAGGAATAGCTTCACTAATAGAAACTAGACTTTCTTAATTGCTTTAATAAAAGTATTTGTTTTATAATTGTAAAGGCCACTGTACCTTACCGTAAATTGTCAATATTGGCTGATAACATTAGTGATACTCATGGTAATGAAACCTTTTCTTTTAATCAGTAAATATATTTCATTATTTTGAATATTTTCAATTATAAAAAAAGTAGCATATGACAACTTGAATTATAAAGTTTATACTAAAGACATAAAAATGCAGAAGGGACAAAGAGGCATTCTTATCTCTATTCATGTATTCTGACACAGTGTTGCATGCATAAAAAAGAGATGTATAACTGTGTTAGTAATATCTATACATTTTTAAGAAAGAAAAGCAATTATGTTGCTGTCTCATTAATGGAATACTGTAATAAGTAATTGTATTTGTTCTTCCTGTAGATGAAGATCAGCTCCGTGCAAAGGGTTATGACAAAACACCAGACTTTATTTTACAAGTACCAGTAGGTAAGTTCTTAAACTCTGTTATGCATTTGTTTATAGAGAAAAGGAATGTGTGTTTTTTCATAGATTAAAAAATTTTTCTTATACTACCAAAAGTTACCAGAATAGATTAGCTTTATAATATTATATCTGAATGGGTGAAATTGCTGGAAAAGATTATTTTAAAATAGCAGAAAATAATAGGCTCAGAAGAAACCTACCCCTTAAAATATTTTACATATATTTGAGAAATAAATGTCTGAAGATATTTTAGTGGCTGTTTTCAAGTCACTTCTCGAAATATTACGGTTCTATTGAAAAGCCAGGCTCACTTTTGTTTGCTTTCATAGTCCTTGTCAACTTACACAGTCCCAGAATAGGAGAAGGACTTTCGAAGATGATGATGAAAATAAAAGGGATGTGATTGTAGCATAAATGTTCCTTGTAACAAACACATACGATGTGTTGTTTTATAATTATGTCCATAGATGACAGGGAGGGTTCAGTCTCTGCTCATTAATGTGAAACATAGAGAGGCCTATGCAGAGTTCAGAATTTTCAATTTTCCCTTTCCTTTGCTCCATATTAGTAATGCTTTGTCCCTTAGCTGTAGAAGGGCACATAATTCACTGGATTGAAAGCAAAGCCTCATTTGGTGATGAATGTAGCCACCACGCCTACCTGCATGACCAGTTCTGGAGCTACTGGAATAGGTAAGGTCCCATTATTTTTCTCTTAAGATAAACGATACTCAGCTGAAATCTCATTAGAAAAAATATTTTGTTTAGCTGGTAAAAATGCTGGTAGCCTTTGTTTCTAGTAAATACAGAGACTTGATTAATGTATTCATTTCAGATAATTTAAACTTCTCTGCTTTCATAATGTTGCTTCATTTTTTAAAACTAAAAATCTTCACATAAGGTCAAAATTAGTATATGCTATTTTCCGTTTTATAGCGATAATACTGGTGTCACTCAAACTATGGATAATAAAATGTAGTTCACATTATGATATTGACATTGACTTTTATCCTCTTGATGTGAAATCCGTGCCTACTGCCAAACGTTAAAAAGTATTTTATCCTCAGCTCTCATAGAATATACAAACAACACAGGGGTGGGCAAAAGTAGGTTTACCATTGTGAGTACCCAAAACAGAGTTGATTCTTATACTATTTTTATTTATGAATTAAGGATTATGTTATTTATTATTATTATTAACCTACTTTTGCCCACCTCTATATAAAAGGTCAAAACAAATTACCTTCCAGCAGTAGAAAAAAGTTTACCTACCAGCTTCACAGTCAACATTCCCAAGGTCATGGAAATCTCAGTGATTAAGAAAAATGTGGTGTTGAAGGAGACCATATTCCAGCCATCTTATTAATGCCATATTACTGAGTACCCTCTATGTGCCTGGGCCTGCACAGTATCTCAATTAATTCTCACAAGGAAGTCACTTTTACTCCCACTTTACAGATAGCTAACTGATACTCAGAGAGAAAATAAGTGTCTACAGCTAGTCATCAGAGGCCTGCATTTGCCTCTCCCACTTGCTAACGTGTTATTTCCAGCACAACTATATTTTCATTTACAATACAAGTGTTGAGACTGGCTTTTTCTATTATTGAAATCCCCAGTTTTCACACCACACATCCCAACCCTCCTTAGAACAGGAGGTGGATTCAGGGGTAACCTTCCTAAATGAACTGTGTTCCTCAATCACTGCCAAAGAGTAAGATGACATTGGCCCAGAACATTAAGGAATGAGACAGTAGCATCTATGGACAATAGTCTTATCCTGGGGGTATCCTGGGGGGAAAACAGTGCAGACTACAGAATTGGGCATTATATTGTTACTCAGCCTTACAAAAGGCCAGCGGACCTGCCTGTAGCAGCTGTGCTAACCTAAGCCCACTTTTTGCCATGGTAACAATGATCATGACAAAATGCTGAATGTAATGGCTTTCTTGATTTTCTTGTGTAATTGTGCGTAGCATCCGAGCTTTACTTTACGGGGATGGAGGAGGAAAGTGCAAAATGTTTTAGAAATCATTGCTGTTTCAGCGTTTCCTGTCTTTTATTCAGCCATTATTCAAATTAGCAGTAATGTTGCAAATTGAATTTTCAATTTTTAGCAATTTTATTATGAGTTGGAAATAGTAAAGAAAGCATCATTTTTGATAGTGTAGGAAAAGCAATGACAAGAGAATCAAATTGTATAAGTTTAAGTTGCTGAAGGATTTTAAAAACGGATAAACTCCATCATTATGCTGTGAGACTATCTCTCCATTTTGGTACTGGTCAAGTCTTTTAAGAGGAATCCCAAATAGTAGAGCTTACTTAAAAATTCCATAAGCATATCTTTATTCTAAAACAACTCTTTTTGAGTGCCTAGTACTTCCTATTTTAGAGGCTGATTAAATAACCTACTCACCTGTATGAGGGGTCTACGGATTATTGACTTGGCTGGAGAGGATCTGAACAATAGATGATTTAGTACAGTTTCCTTTGGACTGGATTTTAGATTATTTTGTTATAAGCTACTTTTATATTCTAATCATGATTGGCTTACACCAATATTGATTTACATTCCATAAACTTGTGGGGTTTTTTTTATATTAGACAGCTAAGTGGGTACATAATTCATTTAGGGTATGTTATGTGACAAGGGAAAGCCAATCTCGGTTTGGAATGTTCCAAACCATTCAAGGAAGAAGTATTCTACACAGAAGTCTTTGCTGTTACCAAATATCTATAGAGAGACCAAAAAATACAAGTAGTGCTTTCACTTAAAATGGAACATGGAGTCTACCTGGACATAAAATTTTGGTTATAATCTGATAGAAACTCACCAGTGATGGGCATTTTGACTTAGCCCATTATGAAAGTATAGATCCTACTCTTCATATTTTGAATCAACGCAACTCAAATAGCCCTTGCTAAAGCTCTTCAGAGTTGGTAGAAATCATCCCTCCCAATGCAGGTAGCTTTTCAAGGCAATTTGGTTGCCATTTGGCCTAACTGCTGTATTTGTGTGCTAAGCCTCTTGTTGACATAAAAACTATTATCTAATTGTCATTATTTTTAGATTAAACATTGGATTTTATAATAAAACTGTTCAGTTAACATTAGTAGAATCATAACCTTGTATAAACCAATTTCCCCACTCAAATAACTACAGATCCCCTAATATTTTGTTTCATATTTCTATGTGAGTTTTCTTTTTATATAAATTGATATTCTCGCCGAAACCGGTTTGGCTCAGTGGATAGAGCGTCAGCCTGCGGACTGAGGGGTCCCAGGTTCGATTCCGGTCAAGGGCATGTACCTGGGTTGCGGGCGCATCCCAGTGGGAGATGTGCAGGAGGCAGCTGATCGATGTTTCTCTCTCATCGATGTTTCTAACTCTCTATCTCTCTCTCCCTTCCTCTCTGTAGAAAATCAATAAAATATTAAAAAAAAATAAAATAAATTGATATTCTCACTCAGCCTTTCAGGAACTTTTGATAAAGTTGATAACAACCTACCTCTTTATTAAAACATCTTCTTTTTTTGGCTCCCAGGAGATGTTCTTCTGGGTTTCTCCCTGCCATGCCAGCAGCATCCTCAGGCTACTTTGCTGGCTCTCCTTCTTCACAGTTCTAGGCCCGAGGGCCCGGGAATTGTGTGCTCACCCCTCTCCCCTTTTCTATCTGTATTCACCCCTTGGTGTTCCCTTGGAGATCTCATTGGAGACGCTGGCTTTATAGACCATCTCTATGCTGGTATCTCCTAATTTTGACCCCAAGCCCTAACATTTCCCCAGCGTATATACTATTTTTTTGTCAATCCAACTGCACACTCAGTACCTTTTCTTGGATGTGTACTAGGTATCTCATACCTGACGTGTTCAAAATGAAGCCCTTGATTTGTTTGTTCACTCCTCCCTTCCACCCCAAGCTCAACTAATGGCACCACAATTTGCCAAATACTCAAGCTGAAAACCTGTGTATCATCTCCAATCCATCAGCAGTCGCTTTCAGCTCTATCTTCACCACATCTCCAGCATGCCATTTATCACCATGCCATCACCTCAGTGGCTGTCACCACTTCTTTGACTATTGCTATTGCTGTAACTTCCAAACTGGTCTCCTTACGTATATCAACTATTGAACTCCTGCCTGTGGTCAGTTTTTATACCCCAACCAGAGTGACTTTCAGAAAATATAGATCAGTTTGTGACAGTTCCCTGCTCAAAACTCTGTCATGGTTTCCCATCACATTTAAAATAAAATCCAGACTCTTTACCGTGACATTGAGAGCCCTGCATGATCTGCCTGTCTATGCCCAATTCTCTCCACAGCTACCTCACTTCCCTCACCTCACATTCTCTCCCTCTCTCATACTTCTTTGGCCATGCAGGCTAGCTTGGCCTTCCTTGAATCTACATTGCTTATTTCTACTTCAAGACCCTTACTCTGGCTAATCCTTCTGTTTGGAATGTTCTTCACTGGGATCTCCCCTTAGCACTAACTCCTCACAGCATTCAGGTCCCTGCTCATATTTCCCCTCCTTTAGGGGGATCTTCCCTGACCACCCAATTCAAAAGGCATCACCCTCAGTCATCTCTCTCCTCCTTTGGCTGTACTTACCCCTATCTGAGTGAATGAATAGAGTCGGGTTGGAAACACTTATATAAACAGCAATTTGCTTGTTTGACTACAAGCCTTTACCGGTAGAAGAGCTTTACCTTTTATATTGCTCTTTCTAATTGCTATATGTAGTGTGCCCCTCATTCCTTTGTAATCAAAACTTCAGAAATTTCCCCTAGCTTAATTAACCTCAAAAAATTTTTTTTTAATTTTGCAGTGCAGTCAGAGATTTTAAGTACAGAATATAAAGCTGCCTTTCTGCTAATAACTTCATAGCATTTATCAAATATTATAATTGCTTGTTTACTTGTCATCCTTAAGAGTTTCATCTTATCTGTATGTCTTATTCATCATCAAATACCCAGAGGCTGGCGCAATACCTGGCACATCATAGGTGATCAGTAGATATTAACTGAATGAATGAGTGAATGAATGAGTGAATGAATTTTCTGATACATAACAGACAATAACATTTTGAATCAGCCATTAAGGATTATGTCAGACATTGTGACATTAAACTACAATAGGGCCAAACTATTTTCTTTGAGAATGCCACTCGAAGGACAGTAAGAAAAATGCCTATTTTTATTTTTTTTAACTGAGGTGTAATTGACAGCATTATACTAGTTTCAGATATACATGATGATTTGATATTTGTATATATTGCTAAGTGATCACCACAGTCTAGTTTGTTGAGAAATATCAGTGAATTGCAATTTCTCAGAAAGATATTTGATTACTATCTTCAAGCATATGCAAGATGTGGTGCGTAGGGAGGGCATATTGAATGATTTTCTAAATCTGGGGGCTAAGTAATTGTTAAAAGGACGACTCTTCCTGTTGACCCACTATGATAGAGTTATCGTATGAGTTACATATGACTCAGAAAAGTTACCCCAAACCAAACCAACAAGCAAAAGATTATGGGGGGCGGGGGCACTATAAGAGTGAAAACACAACCATTATGATCATCAGAAAGAGTGAGGGAAGAAGACTAATAAAACAGATTCTGCCAATAGGACGTGACTCAGGAGCACAGTTATCCTCAGGAGCCCAAGAATAGAGTCCATTTCTGAGATT